TTTGCCATGTTGGTCAGGCTGATCTCGAACTCCTGATCTCGTGATCTGCCAGCCTCGGCCTCCCAAAGTGCTGATATTACAGGTGTCAGCCACCATGCCTGGCCTCAGCTCCTTACACTTTTAAAAGGTGGTTTGGAAACCGAGGCACATGCCAGGCTGTGAGGGAGTGGGGGTCTAGGACACAACAAGTTGGTTAGGGCAGTTCTGTTTTGTTGTAAATGTTGGGAGTGTGGGAGGCTGGAGGGGTGAGGGGTAGGATGGGGTTCACCCAGGTGGGGAGAGAACCTTGTTACGGTTGTAACTAGTTGCGTCAAATCTGATGAAACTCTTAGAGACACTTAACTTTTTTTTTTTTTTCCCCAATCAGCTTCTTCAAGTTTCTTATTAAAGGAACACCTTCTGGAAGGAGAATTGACAAGGAAGCAAATTAATATGTAGATTAATTTATTATTATTTCATAATTTTCAGTCTGAATAATGTTATTTTCTATTACAGTGAAAAACCAAATTCCAATATAGAACATTCAGAACAAATTATGAAACACAAAACAATATTTATCATTCCCTCAGAATAAAATTCAGAAAGCATTCTCTCAAAAAAAGGAAAGAAAATGAAGGAAGTGCCAGTGCCAGACACCCCTTCTGTCTTGCTTTCTTACTGCTCCTTCTTCTTCACGCTTGCTTCTACTGCCCCTCTCAGATTTACAAAAAGAAAGATAGAAACCACTTTATTTTATTGTTATTTATTTATTTATTGAGACAGAGTCTCGCTTTGTTGCCCAGGCTAGAGTGCAGTGATGTGATCTCAACTCACTGCAGCCTCCACCTCCCAGGTTCAAGTGATTCTTCTGCCTCAGCCTCCCAAGTAGCTGGGATTACAAGCGTGCAACACCACGCCCAGATAGTTTTTATATTTTTAGTAGATACAGGGTTTCACCATGTTGGCCAGGCTGGTTTCAAACTCCTGACCTCAAGGGATCCACCCATCTCAGGAGGCTGCTGGGTGTTTGTTCCTGGTGTGAGCCACCACGCCCAGCCTAAACCACTTGAAGAGAGCCCTATGATACAAAAGAAAATGTCTTCCACAAAACCCCCCTGCATCCCTAGGGCAAGCATACAAATCCTCATCCTGAGGAAGTTCATCTTGAAGGTAGTGTTGCAAAGTGATGCCATAGACACTGGGAGATGGACCGCCTCCCCCTCCATTCCTCTCACCATCCCAGGGACAGGGTGGAGATGGGATCAGAGACGAGGGACTCAGAGGCCAGGAACAAACGCCCAGCAGCCTCCTGTCAGTGTGTTTGGGTGCTTATCTATGTGGGAATGAACCTTGATGTCAGAGGGCTGGGGAAATCAAGAAAGAACATCTTTATAGTGTTTTTGGTATTGTTTTACTTATTAGAAAAGAAGCAAACAAAGGGCCTTAAAATATAAACAACGTTCAGTAAAAGAATGAAGCTGGGGGTACAATAAAGGAGGCAAAGAGAGCACAAGAGAAAAGACGAATGATAAGGGAGCTAAAAAGTAAAGACATTTCAACGATGACACTGTCAATAAAGCTAGCACCTCCTTCCCCTTAGTATTGTTCCTTTTCATAGTGAAAACAGAACTAGGGAGGGAGGATTAGAGTGGGAGGTGAGCAGGCAGGGCAGGTGTGCTTCAGTGGGTGATTGGGAAGGCGGGTGGCACGTCTCCACCCTTGCTGCCCAGCGCTTGTCCTGGGTGGTTCCTGCTGCCTCCAGCTCAGTCAGGAGAACCAAACAGCTTGGGTTGCTCTGGAAGGTGAAGGGTAGTGCTGGCTGTGGCCCAGCAGGTGGCAGCACACCCCTGAGGTCCTGGGCCCCGTGGCTGCCTCTTGCAGGTAGGAGTTGCCTAGCAAGTGCTCACCTGGTGGAAGCTGGCTGCTTACCTCTGAAAGTCTTTTAGCACACTTTAGCATAGAAGCATTTCTTGTTTCCATCTTGGAAGCTTGGAAAGCCAACCTGCTCAGCTCTTCCTCCAGGAGATTTGAACAGCAGGTAACACACACCGAACAGAAGGGAGGAGGAAAAGACCTTGGAAACAGAGGGTGGATTCTGGGGTTGTGTACTCTGTCTTCACTTACAACCGCCTTTAGGTAACACACGAAAGAGAATCTTGGTAGCTGTGTTTAGTTTTACTCATGTAAGAAATATTTTACTCATGTAAAAAATATTGTTTCTTTCTTTCTATTTATTTAAGATACAGGGTCTTGCTCTGTCACCCATGCTGGAGTGCAGTGGCATGCATCACTGTGCCCAGCTAATTTTTTATTTTAATTAATTAATTTTTTTTTTTTTTGACACAAGGTCTCACTCTGTCACCTAGGCTCAAGTGCAGTGGCGTGAACATGCTCACGACAGCTTCAACCTCCTGGGCTCCAATGATCCTTCCACCTCAGCTTCCTGATAGGGGGATACATGCACATGCTACCACACCTGGCTCATGTTTAAAATTTTTTTTGTAGAGATGAGGTCTTGCCATGTTGCCCAGGCTGGGCTGGAACTCCTGGGTTCAAGGGATCGTCCTGCGTCAGCCCCCTGAATTGCTGGGACTATGGGCATGCACCACCACAACTGACTAACTTTTTTTTTTTTTTTGAGATGGAGTCTTGCTCTGTTGCCCAGGCTGGAGTGCAGTGGCGCGATCTCAGCTCACTGCCACCTCCACCTCCCAGGTTCAAGAGATTCTCCTGCCTCAGCCTCCCGAGTAGCTAGGATTACAGGCATGTGCCACCATACCTGGCTAATTTTTTGTATTGTTAGTAGAGACAGGGTTTCACCGTTGTTAGCCAGGGTGGTCTCAATCTCCTGACCTCATGATTGGCCCGCCTCAGCCTCCCAAAATGCTGGGATTACAGGTGTGAGCCACCACACCCAGCTAATTTTTTACTTTTTGGCAGTAATGAGGACTTACTATATTGCTTAGACTTGTCTTACACTTCTGAGCTTAAGCAATCCTCCCACCTCAGCTTCCCAAAGTGCTGGGTTTACAGGTGTGAGCCACTGCACCCAAGCTGTTTGTTTTAAACTCAAAAGTTTATAGTGAGATCTGTGTCAGAACATGGATACCTCTATTATTTTTTTTTTTAAATAAAATCTTGGCCGGGCGCGGTGGCTCAAGCCTGTAATCCCAGCACTTTGGGAGGCCGAGGCGGGTGGATCACAAGGTCAAGAGATC